GGGAGGCTGTGGAGTCTCCTTCTCTGGAGATATTCCAGCCCCGCCTGGACGCGGTGCTGTGCAGCCTGCTCTGGGTGACCCTGCTTGGGCAGGGGGTTGGACTGGGTGACCCACAGAGGTCCCTGCCAACCCCCACCATTCTTTGATTCACCACCCTCATTGTGAAGAATTTCTTCCTCATATCCAGTCTAGAACACACCTATTGCTGTGGTGTGGGGCAGCAGCACCAGGGTGCAGTTTGGTTGGTTGCAATTAGTAGTAAAGAGGCACGAGGGCTTGAAGGAGAGGAGGATGCTCTAGCAGCTTGGCTTGGCTTAAATCAAATCCAAACAAAAAGGCATGGAGGCTTTGGGCTCACTCCCGGTGGCTCCACACCGTCCCGGGTCTACGCTGGGGGGGTCCTCATGTTGGGATTGAAAAAACTGCTTGAACGGCTTTGCCCGGGCTGTTTCATGGTGGGGGACATTCATGACCTCGGTTTGAAGGGTCACCTGCTACTTTTTTGTTGCTCATGTTGAAGGAAACACACCCGGTTGCTTGTGGCTCGGAAAAGGCTGCAAAACCATCGCTGGCCCCAGACGGGTTCAGGTTCCTCCATCCGAGCGTGGCCAGGGCGTGTGGCCAGCTGTGGGGACACCACGGTCCTGTGAGCTGGAGGAGCTGCCCCTGGGTCCCCTGCATCATCCCAGCAGCCCGGGGCATGGCGGGGTGCTCACCCAGTGTCCCCTCCGCTGTCCCAGCAGCGTCTCGGTCCTCTCTGACCTTGTTTTTGGGGCCATCTTTCCCACCGTGGTGCCTGCAGGGCTCGATGTAGTAAGAGCATGGGAGGGTTCCCTTGCACGAGGACATCAGCAGGCTTGGATCCATATGTTTTTTTTAAAGATCAGGGCTGTAGCAGCTGTACAGAAGCTCTCAGCATCCTTCCCCGCTCCCATGCCTCCTTCCGTGGTGTTAAATGCGGTTCCTGCGTGACTCCCCGTCCCCGGCGAGGCAGCAGACCGCGGTCCTCTATGAAATGGCACAACGTCACTGAGAATGACATTTGCTGCCTTAGAAAAGCCTCTGTGGGCTCCAAGCCACGCAGCGGTGTCTCGGTTGATGTACACCTCGGTGAACCTACGTGGCCACCGGCTTTCTCACCAGCCCGGTGCCGGCTGCCATGCCAGAAACGGGACGGCCACGGCCATCGACTCCGTGGCTTTGCAGCAAGAAATGAAAGCAAAGGCAGGAGAGAGGCACCCTGGCAGCCTGCTCCAGCAAAGAACCTGGGCGAGAGCTGAGCAAAACCAGCGCGGAAACAGCACGAACGCTTGAGCTACACCTCAAGCGACGGCGCAGAGCTTTGCCTGACGAGAGCAGAGCCGGGCAGCAGCTCGGGCTGTTGGGGGTGCTCGATGGGAGCGGGGCTGCGGCGAAGGGGGGAGGATTTTGGCAGCCTTCCCCGGGGATGCTCTTTCCGGCCCGCCATGCGCTCTGTGCACCGGACAGAATCCCAGCATGGCAGGGGTTGGCAGGGACCTCTGTGGGTCACCCAGCCCAAC